GGCTGAAGCAGTGAGGGGGTCCCATCTCAAAAGTCGCTTTCGGGTCATAGTGGGTGGGTGGGAGGAGGCATAGCAAGGGTGATTTTGAACAAGCTTCCCTCGGAGGACGTCTGGCCAGGCTCGCTGTGGGGAGGCAGGCTCAGGGACCTGATGGAGTGGGCAGGCTGGAAGTCAGCTGGGTACCGAAAGCCCACCTGAAAGGCCCTCACACCCGGCCCTTGGAGAACCAGGCTGCTGGAATGGAGCCTTCAGACTGTGATTCTAGGGAATCTGAAAGGCTGGGGTGGGGCCCGGCCAGCCCTGGGGACACGCACTCCAGGGTGGAGCCAAGGCCTGGGAGCACTGCTCTTCACCCAGAGGTCCCAGGGTGAGTTGCCTGAAATGCAGTCTGCCCTGATGGTCTAGACAGTGCGACCTACATGCCCACTCCAGGGGCGGGCGCAGGGCCGAGGCAGGCTGCAGTCTGAGCCGCTCTCTTCGGGGAGCAGTGCTAGGTGGTCTGCAGAGAAGACTACTGGTGTTGGGGCCTCTGGGGTGCAGGGGAGGGGCACTAACAGTGCAGTGAAAGCTTGGCGGCTTACTCAAAGGTTGGCGTTCACCGCAAGGGGCCTTGACTGCAGGCTGGTCACCCACCTCTAGGGACGGGGAGGGCGAGCAAGGGGCAGGGTGAAGCTACAGCAGCCTTCTCAGAGGCCTGGGCTGCAGGAGTGGGGCTCGGGGAGTCCCGCTTGCCCCACCCCCACCATCACACATACACACACACACCTACATACACACACACCTGAGCAGGCAACTCCTGCCATGGCTGCCCACTGCCCTTGGCCCCACCTACAACTGGCAGCTCCTGCTGCAATTGCTCACTGCCCTCTTGCCCCGCCCCCCAGCTGGGAACCCCCCTCCCTGGCTGCTCCTTGCCCCTGCACCACTACCCACAACCCTATCTGAACAAACGGTCAAGCCAGTCTTGTGGAGATAATGCTAAGGCCTGGATCTCCCTCTCCGGCTTTGGAGCAGTGGGGGTCGGGGCCCTGAGCGACCACTGTGACCCCCACACAAGACACCAGACACTGGGGAGGGCTCAGCATCCTTTATCTGGGGAGGGGTCAGCGGCCCTCCAGGGTACGGTCGCGGGCGATGACGGCTTCCTCGAACTTGATCATGAGCGTGGTGCCCTTGTGCCAGTGGGCCGTGACCTTGGCGGGGAAGCCGCTGTGCGTGAGCACTGCCTCCACAATGCCCGCCGTGAAGCTGGCACAGTTGAGTGTGCTGTTCTCCTTGGGCACCGAGATGTAGGTGTTGATGAGCGGCTCGCGCTCGATGATGTAGAAGGTGCGCGCGTCGTCGTTGGCCTGCTCCAGCTTGTCGGCCTCCTTGCCGAAGAGAGCCTTCCACACGGCGCCCTTGACGAAGAGCAGCGCGCCCAGCACCTTGGTCTCGCGCCGCGCACCCTTCTCGCGCGCCACCAGGGCGTCCAGCACGCGCGCGCCCACCTGGCGGCCCAGTGCGGCCAGGCGCGCCTGCAGCTCGGCCACGGAGAAGACGCGGCTCTGGCAGTGCTGCACCAGCTCCGAGAAGAGCAGCGCGAAGGCGCTCAGGCTCACCTCGGTGCGCGGCCGCGCCAGCGCGCGCTCCAGCAGCGCCGACTTCCCGCGCGTGAAGCGCGCCTCCATGCCGTCCTGCGGGGACACCAAGAAAGGCAGGTGTCATGGGGGGAGCATGGAGGGAGAGCTAGAATGGCCCCCTCCCACATACACAGGCTCCCACACTGTGAGGGTGCTGCAACCCTGCCTCCCCGACCCCCAGTGGGGATGGAGAGCAAAGATAAAGGGGTACCCAACCTATGCACCGCACAGCTTGGGTGGTGTAGTGGTTCCGAGTTGGACTGCTAATCACAAGGTCAGCTGGTCGAAACCACCAGCTGCCATGAAGGAGACAGACGGGACTTTCTACTCCCCTGAACAGTTAGTCTTGCAAACCCACAGGGGTAGTTCTACCCTATAGGGTGCGTTGGCATCCACTCAATATAGCAGTGAGTTGTTTTTTTTAACGTGCACTTAGCCAGCAATACCTAGATAGGGGGCGGGGCAACTCCTATCCTTGGTGGGTGGGGCTTGTGGAGGGAAAGGTGGGAGGAGAGACAAGAGAGGGATGAGCCAGAAGGGGATGCTGGAAATTCCCCACAACCTCGACCAACAGGCAAATTTCTAAAGCGCCTTCAAGGCGTCTCCAAGCTCCTATCCCGCCTTAAACACGCCCCCACCCCCCGCCGTTACACACACACAGACACACACACACAGAAACCCACCCCCACCCCGAGGGCTTAGGTGAAGAACTGGTGTGGGCAGAAAGGAGATGAAGCTGCAGGGCTGAGAAGGGCAGCGTGGAGAAGGCTGAAGCAGTGGGGGAGTCCGCACCAAGAGCCCAGGGGCCCGGAGCTGCAAGGGGCGGTCCTCCCAGCCTCGCCCGGAACACGCCTCCTTTGTGAAGTGGGTGGGCCTGGGTTTGAAGAACCACTGGAGGGGTAGCCCAGGGACGAAGCTGCACAGCGGTGTAAAAACTAGTGGGCGGTGGCTGGCCGCTGGGTACAGACTTGCAGCCCGGAGACCCTACGGGGCTGCTCTATCCGGTCCGATCGGGTGGCTGTGAGTCAGGGCAGACGGGCGGCAGGGGGTTGGGGCTAGTGGGAGGGGGCGCGGTGAGCCTCCCATCCCACCACCACAAGCCATAGCGGTCGGTGGGGAGAGGGCAGGGTCGAGGGGGGCTGGCAGAGGTCCTGTGATGGGGTGAGGGGGCTGAAAGTCGCAGCCATGGGTGGGGGAGGCTGCAAAAAAGGGGTCGGTAGCTGGAGGGGCCTGGGACTGCTTCGAGACGACCCACTAGAAGGCTGCAAGTCTGGGAAGTCGGGGGACCCGGGGTCTCCAGGACGCCCCCACCCTGAGGGGCAGCGATGTCCAAGCGCGCGCGCTGACAGTGTGGGGGGCCGATGGGGAGGACTGGCGCCCCAAGAGTCCCGGAGGCACCCAGACCGCCCCCCACCCGCCACCCCGGGCGTGAACCGCACAGAAGGGCCGGGGAGGACGCCATTGCCCTCGCGGGCCCCCAGGGTGGGCGGAACGAGGCGGGCCGCGACTCGAGGACGCCAAGGCCCCGACACAGGACGCACAGGCCCGCGGGGGAAGGCGGGCTCGCAGCACGGAGGAGACCTGGGAGGACAGGGGACGCGGGCGAGCAGGCACTCACCGGGGACCGCGGCCGTCCGGCTCCGCCGAGCTGCTTTACGGCGACGTAAAGAGCGCTGCGTGCGCAGGCGCGGCGGCGGACGCGCGGGGGGGCGGAGAGCGGGCGGTGATTCCTGGCGCGGCCGCGTGAGGGCGCGTGTGTCCGCGTTCGGTTCCGCGGCCAAGCCGCAGCCCTCGTTTCCGGGCTGGCCCACGTTTAAAGGGACAGTAGCACGTGTGGTCACCAGCACGGGCGTGCAAGTGTGACCTTGGGCCCGGAGTGCGTCCCAGGAGACACACGCATCCCAGAGCTCACATTTCCTGTCTTCTCTCCCTGCCGTCGAGTCAATGCTGACTCCGAGCGACCCTCAAGGTGCCGAGACTGTAATTCCTTCTGAGACTGTTAAGTAGAAAGTCTCACCTTTCCGGCCGGTGGATTTGAACTGCTGGTCTTGTGGTTAGCAGCCCAATGTGTAACCCAGTATGCCACCAAGGTTCAGTTTTCTTAGGGACACACAGACTACTCGTGGACCCGTGCTCAAGGGCACCTGGGGACACACAGGATAGTCACACACACGCATGCGTGCACACACACAGAGAAAATCCACTGCTATCGCATGGATTCCGACGTACAAGAACCTATAGGACAGAGCAGAACCCCTCCATAGGGTTTCTGAGGCTGTGGGTCTTTACAGAGCAGACTGTCACAGAGCAACTGGTGAGATCGAACCACCAATCTTTGGGTCGGGAGCCCAGTGCGCCACCAGGGAGACTGGGCACGTGCTCCGTGGTACATCTTGTCGTTGGTTCCATGTACATGGAGGGAGACATTGTATGTCTGCTGCCCGCCACCCCTCTGCCCAGGCACACATGGGTCCTGGCTTACGCTCTGGGCCACACAGAAGAGCTCTCACTCCGAGGCGCACACCCCAGAGCACAAGCCTGGAACAATGACTCCCTTTCCCCCCGTCAATGCCCATGGACCAGATCAAGGAGGCATTCGTACACAAGGACCCCCAGAGGGTATCTGTTCTCACACCCCCTTCACCCTAGGGTCTCAGCCTTTGACTCCAGCTCCACACACTCCCTGTGGTGTCTCACATGCCCACATCTGAGCAGCATGGGACACCCCTTGCCCAGGTCCCAGCCCAGCCGCACCCCTGAGGCACCAAGAACAGATTTGGGAGCCATGTGTCCCCCCTTGGCCTTTATTTTTCTGGATCACAAGACATGCTGGGCAGGCAGGAGACACACGGTGACATCACCAGGGACAATCATGTGGACAGGCACCGTCCCGCCCACCCTCATGGTGATAGCGTCTCCTGGCGTGTAACAGACGGGCACACGCGGAGCCCTGATACATGTTCACGCAGGCGTGAGAAGGACACACCACAGAGTGAGCCCACGCCGCCAAGGCCTGTGACACGTATCTGTGACATGTATCTGTGACACGGCTCCACCTGTGACTTGCCTTCATGCACAGCACACCCTGGAGCCCTCACATGCTCACATGCACACACACACACACACACACACACACACACACAGCGTCGTGGGTGTATGCACCACAGTGGCACATTCCTAGAAAATTCACCGGCACACCCCTCACCACAACATGCTCACGCACAGACACACACAGAACTCCGTGACACACATTCATGGAGACACGTGATTTTCTTCACGTGACAGGGAGGGGCAAGTTCACCTCAAGCATGGGGGGGAGGGGGAAGTGTCTTCCTTTGGGCTTCTTCAGGGGCATGCATCCCCTTCCTCCAAGCTCCAGGCTGTAGCTGTTAAGGCCTCTCATTTATTTAGAAGCCGGCGCTGCTGCAGGGGCTGAGGGGTGGGGGGCAAGACACCAGGGGTCAGGCAGAACCACCCCCATGTCCCTGGCTGACCACCCCCATGTCCCGGGCTGACCGCACCATCACCCATCACCAACTCACGTGGACTTATCTTAGTCTCCAGCTGTGTCAGTTTGTTCTCCAGCCTCACCAGGATGGTACTTTTGATGTTGGTCACGTCTGGGGGGCGGGGAGATGGGGGACAGGAGGAAGTTGCGGTGGGGACTTCAGGCAAGGTCCCTTCTTTCATTGGAAACCCCCTCTTTCCCAGCCCCTGGCCTGGGTGCTGCAAACACCACGTCCTGGGAGTCCCCAGCAGAATTTTGACAAAGCCCCGCTGAGTTTGGGGATGATGGGGATGCGGACCACCCCTTCCACCAGCCCCTCAGCCCCTGATAGGCATTGAGACAATCTCGCCAAACAAAGATAAGGGCATCAAGAGCACCTCTCTGCAGGGCCTCCGTTAGCTTGATCCCTCGCTGGACTTCGTTTCTGACGGTGTTGATGGACTTTGTCAACTCAGCGAGGCTGTTCTTGAGGCTGGCCTTGCTCCTGTTCCGCTCTTCCAGGTTCTCCTGCATCAAACTGGAGACTGAGGGTGGGGGACAGGGGTGCCGGAGTCACCACCTGCTCCCCAGCAGGTCCCTGTCCTCCCACAACCTCGGAACTGCCCTCCCACCCATCCCCCAGAGGCTCCTCTCACCATTCCACAGCTCCCTCTTCAAGGCCAGCAGCTCCTGGGACATCTCAGAGTCTGTTGGGGGGTGAGAGGGGGCAGGGAAACCCCTGAGGATTCCTTTTATCCTCCTGGGAGCCCAGTGGGGCAAGGGAGAAGAGGTGGAGGGGAAGAGGCACGGGGTGGAAACACTGGGTCTTCCCAACTCCTGAGGACCCCTTCCCGCTACCCCAGGCTCCCCACCACCACCACCATCACCACACATGCATACACAACAACAACCCACAACTTACTCTTCACGAGGACCATGGCAGAGAGGATGATGAAGAAGATGAAGGTCAAGGCGAGCAGAATGTACAGGCTCATGATGGCCCTGTACAGCCAGCTGGGGGGCTGCACAGGAACGGAGGGTGGCTTGGCCTGGCCTGAGACTGGAGCAGAGAGGCAGACCAGGTGACCTCCAGGGCTCCAGGGCCCATCAGCGGCACAGCCTCTCCCCCCACCGAGCACTCAAGCCCTACACTCGCTCTTCTCAACAGCATCAGAAGCTCGCACCACAAGCAAGCCTCTCCTCCACCCTGAACAACACCAGCTGCCTCCAACATGCACCCTCCCTGGTACCGCCAGAGACTGCCCCTCATGCTGCCACCATCCCGACTCCCTTGCCACTTGTGATGGAGGAGCTTCTGGCCCCTCAAAATGTGTGTTGGCATCCTAACCCCTCTACTGGCAGGGCCACAGCTAACCAACCGCCTTCGCGCCATGGTAAGCTCAGGGAAGGGAGCCAACTTCCATCAGGCCAGCTCATGAAAAGCCATCGGCCAGTTGAGATCAGACCCAGGTAGGGAGGAGCCCAGATTGTATCACTTAGAAGAGCCGAGCAGACACCAGGACACGTGTGTGCCCACGTGCACCAGAGAAGCCAGACGGCATGGGAATGCGGAAACAAAGGACACCAAGGCTTGCCCGCAGAACAGGAGGGAGGCTCAAGAAGGAGATCCACCTGATGGTGAGAAAAGGAACCCCTGTTCTTTAAAGCCCCCTGCCCCCACTTGGGGTAATTCTGGCAGGGCAGCACTTAGGGATGGTAACTAAGATACTACCCTCGCCAACAAGAGCAACGCCCAAGATTTCACCCGGGTCGTCATCTACAAGCCTCGCCAGCACCCCCAACAGCTCTGTCACTCATCCCTTGCAGCGCAACCATATGGCCACCTGTCTTTACAACTTCCGATGCCGTCACCCAGACCTTCACCCACACTGTCAACAGCACCATTACCCAAATCGTCCCCCACACCATCGCCAACACCATCACCCACAATTACACCAGCGCCAGCATGCCCTCCACTACCAACACCCCAAACACCCCCACCATCACCAGCCCTTCTACCACCATCACCCCAAACGTCACCAACACCATCACCCAAATGTCCACCCACACCATCACCAGCCCTTCCACAACACTATCAACAGCATCGTCACCCAAAATCTCACCCCCCACCATCACCAGCACTTCCATCAACACCATCACCAACACCATCACCAACACCAATACCATCACCCAAAATACCCATACCATCACCAGCCATTCCACCCACACTGTCAACAGCACCATCACCCACACCATCGCCGACACTTCTGCTGTTGTACCATGACCCCAAATTCAGATTTCTCATCACCATCACCACTTGCAAAGCTGCCCCCATCGTGGTACCATTGTGATCATCGATGCCTCCACACCCCACACTATTGGCCCCCACCTCCGCTTGCAGTCCCCCTCCCCTGCAGCACAGGGCCCCCTGCCCCTTTCCAAGGCTGGGGGGTGTGGGCAGGTGGGCATCCACTCACCCTGACTCTTGGGTGGTGAAAGGCCACCTTTGTGCGGGTCCTGGTTTCTGAAGGTCAAGGTGATGTTCTCATAGTTGGGGTCATCTGCGTCTGTGGGAGGGGTCAGAAGGAGGGGTCGTGGAAACCTGCCCAGAGCTTTGTGGGGAGGGGCTCAGAGAGATCTTGGCTCACTGGACTCCTATGCCCAAGACACTGGGGGGAAAAACAAGCTCGGCTTCTCAATGAAGCAGAGCGTGTGGGTGTGAAGCACACACCCTTACACAAGCATCTTGGGCACTGTAAGGAATGAGCCACTGGACCCCTTCTCTGACCTCTTCCCTCTTGACTATCAACCCTTATTTCCCCGCCCTTCACACCCCACCCCACGGGTCTGCACCTTGGTCTTTGGCTGGGCCCCCTCGTTTCTTGTCTTTGAAGGCTGCAGCTTGCATCTTCACCTCTCGGTTCATGTAGACGTCCTCGTCTACAAGGCCCCGTTGGCCAGGACGTCCCCGCCCACCGGAAGGAGTCAGGGAAGATGAAGAAACCTCAGGGTAGAGGGAAGGAAGGAGGACTTCGCTTCCTCTCTTCAGGGTCCCGTGACCCATCTCACCCACTCCAGGCCAGAGGCCTCAGGGGATCAAAGGTCTGGGCAGAGCCAAGAAGGGTGGCCCCTGGGCTCAGAGAGGGGCATAGCCAGCCAGGACGTGAACAGGAAACTCTGCGTGTGTGTCTGTCCACTGCGTGGGCTTTGTCCTGCCATCCTCTCTCAGTCTCATCACCCTGGAACCTCAAGTTCAAGGCAGAGCTGGAATTAAAAAATTACAATGAAAGGCAGAGTTTCTGGGTACCCTAGATGTCTCCCCCTGCCCAGCTCCACCCCCAAGAAATGCTACTTCTCCCAAGTGGCTGCCCAGACAGGGATGGAGATAGGGCAAAGGGATTGTTGACCTGCTAGAACTCCACGCCCATCTGGGCGGAAGTCAGACTCACCTCCTAGCCCCTGCTTTGCAAGCCCTAGAGGGGCAGCTTCCCCAAGCCTGGTGACCACCGATTGAGAGCCCTTCCTCTGATCTATGCGTGTGGGCACCCCCACCCCCACCCAGCATCTTCATTCCCAGTGGCGCCGCTGTCACACAAATCCAAAGGAGGGGTGCTTTCACGAACATAAGTTTATTTTTTCACAGTTCTGGA